ACTATCCTTAGAAAAGTGTAAGAAGTATTCACGGCAAGCCCCCAGATCACCATGAGCACATATTTATAGAAATCCTGATAATTAGAAATAATTCGTATGACTGTATTTCTAGTACAACCCACTTACGGGCCCCATTTAGCCCCATCGACTGGTTATTACTCGCATTTTGTGTTTATTAAAGCCGACGTTGCGCTGACTGGTTTTGACCAAAAAAAAAAGGCAAACGTAACGACAAACAAACAAAACTTGGGGCTGGGCCCCCCAGCCACACGGCCCCACATCTCCACAGCTAGGGTATTCATGTGGGTTTGGCTTGCATAAAATTTCGCGCTCAATAATAATAACAATGATAATAATAATCCATAATAAACAAAACAAAAAAACAACTAAAACCAAGGCAAGAGTGTCAGTGTCCGCCCCATGTCCGACCAGAAGCGCTCTCGGGGCCTTTGTAATGTTATGGTAATTAGCTAAGCATTTTGTTTCATAATTGTCAAGATCAAGGACAAGGGCGTGTGGGCGAGCAGACCCGAAGCGCCAACGGCGAAGGCGAGCTGCTGACGGCAAACACCAGAGCCCAGACCCCGGGCCCCAGACCGTTTATGGTTATATAAATGTACATACATACGAGTAATGGTACATACAATATGTGTATAACGTGCAGGCACAGAGAAACGAACTCGTATTCAGGTAGCACATTACCGGAATACGGAAAGATGTAAAGAGGTGCAAGGGTATCCTAAATCTGGTGACCCCGATGCCAGCTTTTCTTCACTGCGAAAATAAATCCACGTAACAGAAATAGATATTCAAACACAACAGTTTGGCCCAATTAGAGCCCACTTGCCCCCATGGGTAGGTGTACCCCAGTCGTCGTCGTCTTGGAGGTAATTTCCATCCCATTCCCTATTCCGTCGACCCATTCGGCTCGTTGTCAACATCCGCTGCCCGCCCCAACGCCTGATTTATGCGGGGTCATGTGATTTATGTTCCGGTCATAGGTTGTCCACTAAAAAAAAACACCCTACCCTGCACCCATGATAGCAAAGGGGGCGGGGCCAATAATTGGGGCCAGGCACTCAGCATGGAGTACTCTACGAATAGAAAATCAAAATCAAATCGGAAAAGACCATTTATGCACATATATTTCGTTCTTACTTATAATTTTCTTTCAGTTTTATGCCAATTGTTGTTCTTTGACTTTTCCACCATTGACGGTGATGATAATGATGATGATGAGGAAAGAAGGCACTTCCCCTTGTTTTTCCATTTTCAATGACCAAAGTTGCATCATTTCCTCTAATGGCTTTCCCTCTAACATTCTTCGGTGCTTTGCAAATTTTCCTTTCCTGCGATTTCGTGGTATCCTTTGAGTAGCAATCAGCTACTCTTGAGAACAAGAGCTAAGAGCCAAAACGAGCGGGAACCTTTGTGAGCGGCAGCAAGGGCAGCGGCTCTACTCTTATACCCGGTACTCAGTCAGTATATATCTACATATGGGGGTCATTGATTTACCCATTCTGCCGAATGCTCTCTATGTACCTCTGTACCTGGCTGCTCCAACTCTTCTAGTCTCGGAGATCTAGACGCTCGTTCAGACGGACGGACCGACAGGCGGACAGACGGACATGGCTATATCGACACGACTACAACTGCTGATCAGGAATATATATACTTTATGGGGTCGAAAACGCTTTATTCTGGGCATTACATACATACATCTACATCCACCATCCTTAAATCTACATTCTTAAATGTGTTTGCCTGCCAAGTAGGCATAGGACCATGCCACTATTAGGAATCAAAGAGTCTGAATAACCGCAAGATCAAAGAGATATATATGTACATATCAAGAAAACAGTGCGAGTAATAGGTATTACCATTGAATCGGACTAAAGTTTAATTTCCATATCTTTATCGCAGAGGAACAGTGCCACCCGAGCCCCTGCGGCGTGAACACCAAGTGCGAGATCATTAACGGCGTCCCCACATGCTCCTGCCACCACGGCTATCTGGGCAATCCTCTGAGCGGATGCAGGCACGAGTGCGAGCATGACGGCGACTGCAGCAGCCGCGACATGTGCAGCAACTTCAAGTGCGTGCCATCCTGCGGTCAGTGCGGCTCGGGAGCTAGCTGCAAGACTGTGTCCAACCATCGGGCGGTGTGCGAGTGTCCCAAGGGCTACATCGGCAGTGCGTATACGGAGTGCCGGCCGGAATGCTATGGCGATTCCGATTGTCCGGCCGGTCGGCCCGCCTGCTTCTACGGCATCTGCAAGAACACCTGCGACGGTGCCTGTGGCGTGGGGGCCGACTGCAATCTGCGTGGCCTAACGCCCGTGTGCAGCTGTCCGCGCGACATGACTGGCGATCCGTTTATACGGTGTCGCCCGTTCACCAAGGAGGATCTGTGCGACCCGAATCCTTGCGGCTCGAACGCCATCTGTGTACCCGGACACGACAACACCGGACGCGAGCGTCCCGTCTGCAATTGCCTACCCGGCCACACGGGCAATCCTCTGACCCACTGCACTCGGGTAAGTCCCATGAATACATCTACCCGGAATATAAATATAATATTTGATTTTGGGGATTATCTTTGATGATATTATATTCGATGTTTGGTTATTTTCATTAACGATCTCCAGGGATCTTCATGATGATCGTTCGTTTTCATAAAAAGAATTTCCTTGATTATGTTGGATTATCTCCATTTCTGAAAATAATCAATCTAATATCTCCCCCTCTCTTGTAATAGGGTGAGTGCCTGAGCAACAATGAGTGCCCCGATCATAGGGCCTGCATCAATTATCAGTGCATTGATCCCTGCATTGGAAAGTGCGCAACCGGCGCCAGCTGTGAACCCAAGGCCCATCTGGCCGTCTGCCGCTGTCCACCCGGACAGTCGGGGGATGCCCTCGTGTCCTGCCGCCAGACGCGCACCTTTCCCGTGGCCAAGTATCACTGAATACCGATAGAGTGAAGCTGCAGCCGCACTGCCTGCCAATACAGTCAATTCACCACCTGCTATTCCAGTCTATTCCAGTCTATCCCTTTCTCTCTCTATCCCCTATGTTTTTGTCTCTTTTTTCATACTAGTCGCTAATTCACCTTGATGTTTCACTCAGTTAAAACGAGCAGAAATATTTCGAAAACAATGAAAACAAAACGTAATAAAAATAAATATTAATAAATTAAATGAAAGTTATTACCAAATGAAATAATAGATTGGATTTAAATATGGGCGGGATATTCGATAATTATAGGGTATTCTATTCAAGAAATCGACTACTTATTCGAAAATACATTTGTATGTTGGTTCAATTATGGATTGATTGAATGATTCTTTCTATGTCTCCAAATGTGAACAAATACCTTACAAAATTTAATTTGTTCTTTATTAAAGTCGATAAATATATACACATATATAAATATATAATTTTCATTCTGATCAGTAGATATATGCATATGTATGTATGGATGAATGTGTATGTATAGGCTTTAACTATGGAACTGCCTCTCACTTTCTAAAAGACTTTTGCAGCAAAAGGAATAACTAAATAATTATATTTTTGGCGTTCAAACACAATAGTTTAAATTTCTAATTGGAAATAAATACACCTGGGTACACCTGAATCGTGCATACAGTACGTTATTGAACCATAGAACGGTTGGAATACCAATGATCGATGCATTCATATACTATGAGATGTTTATACTTAAATTAGAACCCTCTATGAATCCCAAAAACTTGAGAAAGCCAAAAGTTTACTTGGCTTTAAAAACGCCTACATTATTCAAACAAGGTATTATTTTTTGTAATTAAATGCATTGCTAAGGACACAGAATCAATGTTAAAAATATTCTTTTGCTATGATTTGATGCGGTAAGGTAGCTATCTCGATGATGGAAGTAATCGGATTTCTTGTAGAACTGTGTCTATTGTTGGATATAATTCAAATACAGTCTTGCAAGTCGCAACGTCATTATCCAACTGTCCTGTGGTGTTAGAACGTACTGTACATACGGTATATATTTACCCATTTACAATAACAATTTTGTGTTGTATTCTGTTTTTTTAAAGCAAATCGAACGAAAAAAAAACCAAAGTCTAGGCCCTTAATTTTCTTGCGCATCAAACAGTTTGAATACATAATTATATGGTTGCTGGATCTTCTATTTTCTATTCTCCTATTTGAATCCATTGATAAAGTTATCCAAATTAATCTGTTGTATTATGCGAACACGTTGCAAATTTGAATTTCTTGTGCCATTTTTAAACATCAAACAAGTGGAATTATTAATTACATACATAACATATATGGCCTGGATACGTACAGGAATAGTATAGGGAACGCAAGTCATTACTTTGCCTCGTTATCTCCTCTCGAAATGCATTCATACAAAATTCAACAAAAAGTGTTATCTGGTATATTTTTAGAGATTGAAAGTAGAAAGAGCAACCAGCATATAAATATGTACATATATGCAAGTTCTTTCATGGTCTTGTGCTTTTCTGTAATAACCAACTGCTGATATACATATGTATCGAGTTTGGTGGCGATGCATCTTCTTTTTAAAAATAGACAATGAAAGTTTCCATAACGGAATTCCATTCCAGTACTCACAACCGGACAAAATGACCTTTTCATTTTTTTTTTTTCATACAAAAATAGTTTCCATAGTGTGTGTTGGTGGGTCCGCCTATGAGAAACTTCAATGTCTTTGCATACGAATTTATTGTTCTGATTTTTGCTTTCGTGAGACTTTGGAGACCTTTTCCAGTACTTGTTATTGGTTTTTGTTGGGGGGCTGTGGGTTGGGGGATGTTGCCTTTGATGCAAATTGTAAATACAATTTTCGCTTTTTGAAGTAGATATAAATATATTCTTGTATATAAATATGCCCTCTGTTTCAGTTTCGTTTTTGTGTATGTATATATTAAATATTTTATGTATATAAATTTCTAAATACATTTAATTGCGCTTTTCATTTTTAAATTTTAATTTAACGGCTATCTGGCATTTTATTCCGAATAAAACAGGATGAAAAAGAAAACAGATAAAAAAAAAAAAACGTCTCCATGTGGGTGTGTTGGTGTCTTCGAGGTGTTGGTGCATTGGTTTTAGCTATGTCTATGTGTATGTGTGTGTGAATCTGTGTGTATCTGTGTATAGCATATTGTTCTATGCGCCCCCCACAGCGATTTTATCTGCTCCCGCAAGCGCGCGAGCTTTTGCCACCGATCCTGGTCCTGGTCCTGTTCCCGCTCTTGGTATCCAGTTCCTGCTCCCACGCCGCCTTCAACTGCAGCATTTTCTACGCTTAGTTCCCGGATTATTCTTCAAGTGAATGGTGTCCTTCTGCTGCTCGTTGGTGGTGGTGCGCAGCTTGTGGTTGAGCACCTGCCGCGTTATCGACAGAAACATGTTGTCCACATTGATGTTGTCTTTGGCGGATGTCTCGTACAGCTCGATGTCCATTTGTTTCGCAAACCTTTGCGCATCTTCGGTGATGACCACTTTACAATCGGGATCATCGTTCTTGTTACCCACTGTTCGGAAAAGGTACAGAAGATAAATGGCAACTCTTTTGCTACTCCATTCGACACACGCCCTCGTACTCGTACTCGTACTCGTACACGTACTCACCTAATACTTTGTTGACCACATCGCAGTTGTTCTGGATCTCTTCCAGCCACCGTCGCACATTCGCAAAGGAGTCTCCGTTCGTTACATCGTAAACGATGATGACGCCGTGGGTGCCCCGGTAGTAGGTGCTGGTTATGGTGCGGAACCGCTCCTGTCCGGCCGTGTCCCATATCTGCAGCTTCACGCGCAGCCCATCGATGTCCACCGTCCGAATCTTGAAGTCCACCCCAATGGTAGTTATATAACTACCCGAGAATGTGTCGTCTGAGAACCGAATCAGCAGGGAGGATTTCCCAACTCCTACGGGGGGGTGTTAAGAAGGAAACAATCGTTATTTAACACTCTTGAACACACACAATTACAATGAGTCTCTTCCTAGGAAAATATAATAGAATATGAAATGTGTGGGACACCATTTGCTTATCCACAGCAATTGTTCTAATTACAAGCAGCTGGAAAAGTAAACAATTGACACCAAGACACCACAGCATTCCTAGGTATCAAGTGCAAATCCTGCCCTGCGATGCGTCACCATTAGTCACGGCCCATCGCCAGCAACAGCCACAAAAGTATGTAATCCTATCTTCGGGGGCGAAAGTCTTGATACACTGGATATAGTAGAGTAAATCAAGAATACTATAATCTTAAATTTCTATCGAGCAAAACAAAAGAAAAAGGAAGGACCTGTGCATACAGACAGACGGACAGATATGGCTATTGTGGGACTGTTTTTCAACAAAATATTATAATTTATGAACACGATGAAGTTCCTGCTTTACGTTTCAACCATTTGAATGAAACCCATATACCCTTTTGCACGATCACACCATTGTTAAAACAGCTGATCACCCTCTAGCGGGGTGGAGGATGCTGGCAAACCGAGGGCAAGGGAAAAAATTGAATTCACATTTACATCTATTTATAAACCCTTAGTACAGGAGAGAGAGATGGGGAGAGAGTACATTTTAATCGCATGATCATTACGCTCTCCCTTTTTCTCTCTTCCGATTTTGCACTTACCGCTGTCACCGATTATAAGCAGCTTGAACAGATGATCAAAGCCGCGTGCCATTTTCTTCTCTCTGCTGCTGTTTCTGGCTGCTATTTTTTCCGCTGCTTTTATTTACAGTTAGAGCCGCTTTGAACAATGCAAAAATAATTTTTTGCAAAAACAAATGCCTTGCCTTTGCCTTGCTCTCACACGCAGAAACGCAAACACGTACACAAACAAGAGAAGTATTGGGGCTGTATAGTTCTCGCTCGCACTTAGGCGGCACCCGGCTTGGTTTTTATGAATATTTGATATATATATATATATATATATATATATGTACGTATTTTTCTCTGCTGCTGATAGTGCTTTTCTGCCTCTGGTTCTGCTAAAACTTCTCTTCTGCTGTTGCTGTTGTTGCTTCTCCTCTGCTCCCCACTGCTGCTCCTAATTGTTGCTGCTTTTGTGTGATAAGCTAGCTATTGTTATTAGTGCTGATGTACTAAATTATAATTTATGTAAGTTTTGTGGTTGATGTTGCCTTGCTATTTAATTTCCTTGGATTAAAATTATAATTTTTTTGGCTCTGCTGCTGCTGCTACTGCTGGGTATCAGCAACGGTTTTATGTGTGTGTGAAAGACATATTGTTGTTGGTTTTGTTCAAAAGAGTAGGAAGGAAGCACAGTGGAATTTTATGCACTAATTATTGTCGATCCACAAATAGTTATTATAACACAGAAGATGGAAAAATTAGAAGGTTCGCCCGATTTGCACTAATTTATTTGACGGCTGACACGCACACACACACTCCCATTCAATGACAGACTTGTTGTTTAATTTGTGTGTATTTTAGCTTCACTCTGTGCGTGGGACACCAGTTTTCATTTCGAATTTAATCCCTTTGAGGAGCTGCATTCGTTGCGGATCGTCGGGCTTCGGGGGCGTCTGGCTCAGTCTTTAAATCATATTCTGGATAAACTATTACTAACGCACTAACACATATAAAAAATAAGAGCTGGAGGTCTGGCTCAGTGTGACCGCAGACCCATCGTTAAAATATGCCGTCCGACCCTCAGAAATAGATTAAAATATACCGTCCAATTTGAAAAATATACCGTAAATATACTGACGAGCTCAAGTTCTATTATTCCACAATTTTATATTCCGTCGAATATTATTAGCTAGATAGAACCATTTAGCCATGCCCACAAAATTGTATCCAATTAATAAAACTATTTTCTACTTTACTGGCATAATTTATAGCAAAATATAGCAAATATAGCTAGTGCACATTTTGGTCGCGCACAAGCACTGGCCGACTGAGCGGGTTTTTAAATCATTTTGTGAAATGAACTCCCTCTTTTCCATGGAAAACATTCCCTCGTATATTTCTGACCGAAATTATGCAAAAGCTTCCCCTCGCCCCATCAATGACGCCAAAGAAAATTGTTTTTAATTAGTTTTTGTTTTGCAAACTTAACTTAAGTTCCTTTCGTTTCCTTTGTTTAGGGAGATCTTGAAATTAGGATAAATACTGCATTAAAAGTACTAAAAGAAAAATAGACAAAAACTAATAATAAAAAATAATAATGATATGGCCATGCCATCATAGATATTATCTAAGAAAACAAAAACATTAAAAAATCAATCTGTATTGATTCGTACTTTCGCACATTACTTTTTTGGCTTGGCAGCCGTGCGCCTTCGTGTGCGACTGGCGACACATGACACGTTTGCCGGGGGACTTTCCGGTGCGACATTTTCGCGAGGGCGAGTCGTACTCTGGCGGCGTCGACGCAATTCCCTGATAATCGGTGTAGCCTCCGTCTCCTCTTTGCGAGCGACATTTGTCATTCCAGCCTCACGTTCGGCTGCTAGTTCTCCTCTGCGAGATGTGTTGCTCTGACGCACTTCAGCAGCAGGAGCTGCAGCAGCAACAGGAGGTGCAGTCGCCAGGCTGGCCAAGCTGGTGCGAGACCGAGCTCTCAAGGCAAGTCCATAAGGAGTCCGTGCTGACGATTCGGTAGCAGCGGATGGAGCGTTGGCCAAGTGAGGGCGCACCGTGGGGTGGAGTGATTTTGTCTGATCGGCAATAGACTCCCAATTATCTTCCTCATCGTCATCTTCGTCTTCAATGCTCGGAGCACGCAGCTTATCACGGTAGCTTTGGCGATTCTGGTCACGCCTGTCCTGCCTAGACCCGGCAAACTGTGTACTAGCAAAGACCTCAAATTCGTCCTCGGAATCATCAGGAGGCGGTGACACAGCACTGCAGGTCTCGCAGACGTACGTATCGGTCGCCGCGACACAGTAGCAGTGCACCGGTTTCGATCCGCACAGTTGGCAAGAAATGATATTGACCATGTCCGAATCGGGCCCATCCAAAGCGATGCAATCGGGGACCGTGCAGGTCATGTCGCGGACAAGCTGATCCTGGAATGCATTCGGTTCGGTCTCCCACGAGGCATCGCTAGCGAGGAAGATAGAAACGATTAAGTTTATGTATTGATAATGGCGATCATCCCATCACATATTCAAAAACAAACCTGTTCGGCACCGAAATGCCCCAGAGACGGAGATCCAGGAACTTTGACGAGCTGTTGCACAGCGGACACTTGAAAAAGTAGCCAGCATTGTTGGCGTATTTCTGAACGCAGTGCTTGTGAAACCAGCCATTGCGGCAGCACGGAGCCTCCAGCATCAATACCGGAGAAAATTTCTTCTCCTCAGGCATCAGAAGCTCCAGGCATATTACGCAGCACTGATCGGCCTGTGGACGAGCTCTGGTACGAGCGATATGTGAATGGCAGTAGGATTTATACGAGCCGGAAAATTGATAGCGCACCAGGTTCTCCAGGCCGCAGCTGAAGTGGAAACTTCGGCGACACGTCTTTCGGCAGCAGCCAATTGGGGCGCCGTTTCTGCCGCAGTAGAAGCACGTCAATTTACTGGCACGCTGGACCTCCGCCAAAATGTCCTGCTTCCGGAATCCTGAGATTCCATTTTTAACGCCGCCGCGTTGCACCAGATTAGAGCTAGTGTACTAAACAAAAAAATTATTAAATGTGGCGTCACTACCGCCGGTGCATGTGGAACTTACCAGACAATTGCTGTGCACCTTCTTATTGCTGAAGTGAAAGGATGGCCCGTAGTCACAGCTATCCTCCGTCGAGGAGCCACACAGCACGCAGTCCACCATTTTTCCGAGCACCAAATTGTTATTTAATTATTTGAAAACAGTCGCACAAATAACTTTTGCCGGGAAAACAGCGCGTTGCGGCGCCAAAAGTAAAATGCAAAACACTGCAGACGTATCGATATATATCACACGCCAGCGATGAGCAGCTTCAGAAATTGGTATTTTGCACTGCCACTGCAAAGATGTGTAAATTTTCAAACGCCTTTAATATTTTAACAAAAATTATATTAACAAAAATACGCTTATTTTCTTTTGTTTGAAATATTGTATATCCAACAAATATATTCCCAGAAAATGACAACTCTGGCTATGTGTATTTCTGCGAATTTTAGCCGCCAATCAAAAACAAAGGTTAACAATATGGCGCCCTGAAAAAATTATATTTCACTTGACGCCGCCTGTCCGTCACAGGTTTATATTTTCAAGAGTCCATCACGCACAAGAGTCCTATTAAATGTGTTTGTGTTTGATTTTTCTGAACATTATGAGACACTACACAAAAACACGTAGTGTACGAAATAGGCTGTGCCCACATAGCTGCAGACAGCATATGACTAGTCAAAATTGTTTTAAATTCTAGAGCGAGATTTGCTGAGTTTCAGAAACATGATTCTACTCTCCTGATTTTTGCGATCTACCTCCACGAAAAAAACCCAAAGGCCGTATTAATAAACCCTTACCTGCGTTTATATTTATACACTTTTATACTAACCAATTTAAAGCCAGTGCCGGGAAAAAACAAATGATGGAGCTCGGCTCGGCCGATGACGTTCTTCGGAAACGTCGATATATATTGGTATTTTCGTGCTGCCAATTTCTGGCGAGGAAAAACATACATGTACATATATTTATATTCTTGATCTAAAGCATTTCTTTTTAATAAACCTTATTACTTATAAAAGATCTATTTTCTGCTGCCAAAAAAAAATACCAAAAAAAATCGCCACTACAGAGCTGCCACCATGTCCGTTGATAGATTGGTGGATATCGCGACAACAGAAAAAATTTAAAAGGATTTAGTCTATTCATCCAACATGTCCGTATATCGCCTGAACAAGCTGATCCGGCTGGCACCCAACATGACCGGTGTGTAATAGGATTACCTTGGCTTGCCCATAGGACTCTACCCTTGGCCCCCGAGTCCAACTGGACAGCGACGGTTCAAAGTCCGAAGTGCCACTGAACACCTTTACCCGCGCTGATATCCGTTTAACATTTACCTTCTGGCAGCGGGCCGATCAACTGTTGCGATGCAGCCCCAACGCCACAACACATCCCACAGCGCCCAGGCGGCCGACACTCCTGGACACACGTCTTTCAAGACCTTGGCCATAACGACGCCCAAGCCATTTGTCTTCCATGTGGAACTTCATCGCCCCAACAAGTTGAATGCGATCAACAAGCAGATGTGGCTGTAAGTACCCAATGTCCTCCTTTTCCCCGCCAGTGGCCCATTCACTAAGTGTCCACCTTTCGGCCCCATCTCCCCATCTCCATAGGGAGATCAAGGACTGCTTTGAAGGATTGTCGACGAACCCCGATTGCCGTGCCATTGTACTGTCCGCCTCTGGCAAGCACTTCACGGCCGGCATCGATCTTAGCGACATGATGAACCTTGGCCAGCAGTTGTCCGACACCGATGACTGTGCCCGCAAGGGCTACATTCTGGAGCGTGTCATCAAGCTGTACCAGGACTCGATCAGTGCCCTCGAGCAGTGCCCCAAGCCCGTGATAACGGCCGTCCATCAGGCATGCATTGGCGCTGGCGTCGATCTGATAACTGCCTCTGACATCCGCTACTGCACCCAGGACGCATTCTTTCAGGTGAAAGAGGTCGAAATCGGCATGGCCGCAGATGTGGGAACCCTCCAGCGATTGCCCAAGGCCATCGGCAGCCAGTCCCTGGCCCGTGAGCTCTGCTTCACCGGACGCCGCTTTGAGGCGTCCGAGGCGCACTCCTGTGGCCTTGTTAGCCGTGTCTTTCCCGACAAGGAGTCGCTGGTGACCGGCGCCCTGGCCCTGGCCGAGCAAATAGCCAACAAGAGCCCCATTGCGGTGCAGACGACAAAGGCGAACATGGTCTACTCGCTGGAGCATACTAACCAGGAGGGACTCGATCATATCGTACGTTCTCCTCCCCCTTCCACCCCATTGATTTATTGAATCTGATTCGTTTGACCCCCGCAATCCTTATTAATCTTTGCAGCGCTGGTACAACAAGTTGAATCTGCAGTCAGAGGACTTTGCCCAGGCCGTGGCCGCCCAGCTGACGAAGGACGACAAGCCAATCTTCGCCAAGCTCTAAGCTGAGAGACATTTTTCATTTATACATTTTCCAATACATATATTTTCCATATTCACATTCATAAACCCAGTCTCATTTGCCTTTGGCGAGGAGTCGGCTGCGAATGACTTTAAAAGTGCATCAGATTGCATCAGGAAAGATTGTGACTAGGAATTTGTTATCTTCGCTGGAGAGAGAGAAAGAGAGAGAGAGAGAGAGAGAGAGACACTTGAAATCAGGCTGAATCGGAGGCAGAGGCGGATACACTGTCTGTTTCGACCGACACCTGCTGGCAGAGATGCTCCAATCGTTGGCGATCCTTGATGCACTCAGCCGTGAGCACCTCAACCACACCGTCCTGACTGATCAGCAGATCGTCCTCGATGCGTATGCCAATGCCCCGGAACTCCGCCGGGACGTCGGTGCAGTCCTCCCCGATATAAACACCCGGCTCCACGGTGAAGACCATGCCAGGCTCCAGAGCTTTGCTCCGCGGTATATTCGGCGTGTCGTGCACATCCATGCCCAGATAGTGCGACACATGATGCGGACAGAATCTGTAGCCCTGGCTAACCACCGTCTTGTAGTCGTCCGAAGCCCTTGACACCAGCCCAATCTCCTGCAGATACTTGCCCAGCCTGTAGCAGGTGGACTGGAAGAGCTGGTCCAGCGTCTCGCCGCCTATGCTCCCGATCATCCCGATAATGTCCGACTGCAGTGTTGACAGCATTTCATAGAGGGTGCGCTGGGGATCCGTGAAGGTGCCGCTGGCGGGCCAGGTACGCGTGATATCGCTGGTGTACCCGCCGTACTCGCAGCCAGCATCCATGAGGACCAGATCTTGCGGCTGCAACAGCTGGCTGTTGTCCACATAGTGGATGATGGTGGCATTGCGACCGGCGGCCACAACCGGAGGATAGGCCAGGAAGCTGGCGTTGCGCTGCCGACACTTAAAATCGACGGACGCGAATAGATGGTGCTCGGACTGGCCAGGCCGGGTCTCGGCCATGACCTCGTTGATGGACTGGGCGGCAATATGGCAGGTGCGACGCATCAGATCCATCTCGGCGGGGGATTTCAGCAGGCGCATGGCCTCCAAAAAGGTGTGGACGGGCAGAAGTTGGATATTCTCTGTGCTGCCAGTCTTGATGACGCCCTCCTTGACGTGTTGCAGGTCGCAGGATTTCAGATCGAACCAGAAATGGGGCTTCAGGCCGGTGACCAGCTTGCCAAGGATCGGTTCGAACTGACTGAGGGAATGTGCCTCGGTGACTCCAAAGAGTGGAACGGACAGCTCGGGGCCAGTACGTGGACCGTCCCACAGTTCGGCATGCGCATCCTTGGGGCGCATGAACAGCATGGACTCCACATTGGAGCCCTGGTCGATGGTCATCACGAGAACCGAGTCTGGCTCTAGGCAGCCAGTCAGGTAGTAAAAGTCCGAGTTCTGCCTAAACACATAAGGTATTTTACCGCTCATGTACTTCTTCGAGGCGGCCCCCACAATCAGCTGGAAAGAAACGCCCTGGCTATAGAAAATGTTGGGGTAAAATGCGGGACAGGCTTCGCATACCATATGGTTCTTTGTGGAGCGGCCATTGTAGTTGTCGCCAAAGGTGCTCGCATAGGACTGTATTTTCTGCATCAGTTCGATGCGCCGCTGCTGGAACTCGGCCAGCGTCAGGCCCGGCACTAGCTCGTGGGGCAGGATGAGATGCGGATGGCTTACACAAGTGGGCTGACCAAGCCTGGGGCCGTCCAGTTTATTTAGCAGATTGACCAGCCCGCTGGTTCCGTTTGTCGTTGTGTTGTCCTTGGTGCTGCTGGCTTGGGAATTGCGCCTCTGTGGTTGAAGAAATGTGGAAATCTCCGCCAGGCTGCGTCCCCGCATCGGAGCGCAACGTGCTAAATTTTTCAGGGCAATCATCCTGGTTGACTCCGAACCGGGCTGTGAAACAATTTCTATGTTTGTTTATATTAATAAATTGTGATCATCGGCATCAAATATATCGAATATACTATCGATAAAATAAACCCGTTGGACCCGAAATATACCACAAATATACCGATGAAAGAGCGAACATACGCCACTTAAGCCCACTTTATTTAAACAGAATAACAATTTGATTTCATAATAATTCTTGTAGATCCATTTAATCCTTTATCTCAAGAAAGTCATCGACTGTATACCAGAGCTACGCGCCATAGTAAAGTAAATGAGTGGCAATCCAGTGGAATAAATGATGCACGGCTGTACGATTTGAGAGAACGAAAATTCAAAACACCTGCTTATGGAAGTTTCTATACCCTATGCTCCTTAATATTCCGTTAAAAAATTCAGTTAAATTGACTGATGGACTTTATGTAATATATGTACCATTATATACCGATATACCGTAAATATACCTTCAACTCAATTTTGGCGTCAAAATATACAGAACAGCGTATAATATACCGTAAAATTCGAAAACTACGGTGGCTGAAGCTGTTGCTTGTAGCAGGGCTGCCACTCTATCGCAAAACCCCAGTTGCGTGTCGATAGATTGCCCAAAAACATTCGGGGTACTCCAAAAAGTCAAGTATCCTATATATGTTGAACTATTTATAATGAGAATATGTATTCAAATGTGAAAAAACAAAGGCATACAAAATAATCAAAAATAACGACAAGAATATCAGCATTGACGTCGTTTTGTATTTGGTTACGCATGATATTTCGTACACTGCGTATTCGATCACATTGTGCTGTGGACTGTTCAAAATCAGTCTTACGAGTACCCAGATTATTTACTTTCCGCTGTTTTTCGGTGATATGAAACCATTTCGGATCGGATTTGGGCGAAAATAAAATTTACTTCCACATACACAGCTTGCGAAAATGGAAAACGAGGTAACTATACGCAGGACCATAGTCGCCTAGACTACTCCTAATCTCATGTTGACCGTTCCAGCAGTGCGCATTGCCCCGGCTGCCGGTAGACGGCGAATCCATTCGGTTCAATGACTGGAACATTAGCTACGAAAAGTCGCACATATTGAAAAGTATCTGCAAGCAGGGCAGCACCAAGTGCTGCGACAAGGACGATGCCAATCGCTGTGAACTCTGCCACTATCAATACTCGCTGGACCTGCCTCACTTGCCTGACATGGTGTTCCACAAAAACAAACTGGTGCTGCAGCACAAGGACGGCGCTCTTATGGAGTTCAAGCCTATGGATGCCCTGGCCCTGGTCGACAATGGCAAACAGCCTATGGAGGTGGCCTGTGCCCAGGAATGGCGTCTTACCCGGTCGGTAGTTGAGCGGTTAAAGAGTTTCGACGTTGAAGTGCGAATTCCATACTCATTTCTATACCTTTTCCCTCTGCCCTTTCCAGTCCGGAGCAAACCATGGAGGAGAAGTTCAAGCCGTTCGACTGGACATTCACGTCCACCTATCAGGGCACCATGAACGAGAAGATCCGCTCGGAGAGCTCAGATATGACTCTCAACAAATTCAAGTTAATGCAACGCGAGAATATAATCTTTTATACAGATCTCACCCTGTTCGAGGATGAGCTGCACGATCACGGCATCTCGGTGATGAGTGTGCGCATCGTAAGTATTCGCCAGGGCGGGGCTAATCTAATCATTTTTTGCATTACATTGCTTATGGTTCAATCTTTCTTCCAGCGTGTGATGCCTTCAGGTTTCTTCATACTTCTTCGTCACTTCCTGCGCGTCGACGATGTTGTAATGCGCATGTACGATACGCGATTCCATCATGAAATAGAGAACGATTATATCCTCAAGGAGTACGTGCATCGGGAGGCTCCGTGCTCGAAGCTTCAGAGCTCGATGGCCTTCTGGACCAATCCGGATGAGATGCAAAACTACCTTCCCGTGCTCTCCAAGCAAATGCACAAGTTGTTCTTCAATTAGCTGACCATACCACCATACCACCATACCACCACCCACCATCCTCAGTATACCACCCGCACAGGCTTAAAAATTCAATTCAAAATTTTATTAAACATTGATCTAAGACCTGCTATGTGCTATGTTCGATTAAATACATATTTCCATAATTATGCGCATGCGCGCAGACATTAAAAGCGCTTCCCCAGAAGGCACACTACGACGAATATGCATTCTAATATGAACCGGACACCGTCCAGGCTTAGGCTCCGCCCAGCAGGGCTGTCAGGGCCCGCTTGTAGTCGCCCGAGGTCTCCGCCTGCAAGACAGACACGAAATTAGAGGTTAGAGAAGGCAATGGATCTACCAATACTTACATCCTAGGACAACACAAACACCGTAAAGGAAATGGAAAGGAAATTGCAAGACGTTAACATGGAACGAACTATTTGCCAGGGAGGGAATGGGAATCCATTCGGAATCATTGACTTACCACCACGGCACTGAGCAGAGTGCGATTGTAGATGCGCTCAAACTCTTGCTTGATCGTCTCCAGATCGATCTCGGAGCGGCAAACAATAATCCGTATGAGGGTGGAGTCATCTGTGCCAGCTCCATTCATGGCCTTGTACAAACGATTGGCGAAGAAGGCCGCCGGCGATTGGACGCATTCAACTGGAGGTGGGGGATGTTTTGATTATTTTATACAAAAAACAGAAATTGATTCAGGGACTGCGCATACCTATGGCCATCATGGCTTCGTGCAGCTCATCGGCCATCTCGTGCTTGATGGCCTGCTCGATGGTCTGGCCGGAGAGCTCCTTGTACTCCTCAAAAACGAGCCTCAGCTGGGGGAAGCTGGCATGGGACATGATGCGGTTGAAAACCTCCTCGTCGGTGCCCAGCTTGGCCTCGCCAGCGGCATACAGCTGGCTAGCCTGCTCCTTGGCCTCGGCCGCATCCACGGGTGTGTTCAGTCCATCCCTCACACCAGTGACGATCAGGGTGAGCAGGCGGCGAAAGAACCCAGATGTCTCGCTGCACATCTGCTCGGCCAGCGGCCTCTGATACTTGTCCTCGTAGGCCTCCACAATTTGGTGCATTTCCTCGTTGCTCTTGGTGCACAGGATCTCCACCAGTGTGGACTCCTCGGTGCCCATGCCGGCCATGGCCGAGTGCAGCTGCTTGCACAGGTACTCCACGGGTGGCATCATCATTGCCACAATCACATCCTCGAACTTGCCCCCCAGCTCGCTCTTCAGGTCATCCACCAGATCCCGCTCGAATTCTGTGTCGTAGACCGATCGAATCAACTGTCGCTGGCCGTTGCTTCTGCTGGCGAGGACATCGATGATTTCCTGCTCATCTGTGCCCAATCCCTTCATGGCGGCCCTCAGGGTCTGGGCATCGGCGGCCGCATCGAAGGGGGTGGCTCCCACAACCGTAGGCACGGGCTGGATGACGCATAGTTTTGTTATTCGGTTATGCCAGCGCCAATCGATATATGTACGATTGCAGAGGAGTGGAAACCCACTGCCACTGCCACTGCAACTGCCACTGCCCTTACCTTGTAATCCATTGAGATTCTTGCAAATACTGTTTAATGGGGAAATATATGTCAAAATATTGGCAAACTTTCGCAACGTTTCTCTTTTGCTTCGCTGTTTTTCTGCTTCTGCTGCTGCTGCTGCTTCCGATGTAGCCACTCGTGTATTTAGTTGTGTTGTCTTCTCGTTTGCTCTTGGCTACTTATGGAGGAGACGACTGTCTCACCTAAGTACTGAGTGCTGGTGCTGCGTGCTGTGCCTCTAGCAGAGAGCGCAAGCTATGGGAAAAGCTTTTGAGAGCGCGACTTGGCGAGCTTTCAATTCGGTTTCGGAATGGAATGTGCCGTTGCACTCTGGCATGCCAGGGCGGTGGAATCATCTGGATGGCATTGCCAGCGAATGCTTTTAATTAATCGCCAACACAGTGGAGACCCGACCCTAGAGCACAACCTGAAGATCAGCCGTTAGTTTCGTCGGATTGTTACCCCACTGTGGACACTGTGCGAGTACTCATAAAATTATGTGGGACAGCGCGGTGCGCTGTGCTTGTGTCTGGTGTATATAGATATTATCTTTATTTAATCTCGTTAAATAGGCTTCGCTCTAATACATTTACATGCTGTGGCGCTCGCTCTCTGTCTTTCAATTGGGAGGAGCTACTGTGCTTGTTCGTTCTTCATTTCTCTACCGTCGGGTTTAAGCTTAATTATTAGTATCGAATATATAATATAATAGTATTTAATTTATATGTTGCTTTCTATCTCTCTCTCGCTGTTTTTCTCAGCCTGCTGCCGATAATGCATCCTATCGAATTATAGATCTGATCTGATCCGATCTGCTTACTCTTGATTCTCATTAGTTCCACGAAAATAATAAGTGAAGAGTATATAAATCCAAATGTGGAGAATAAAACCAATATCTAATACAAAAAATAAATTACATTATCAATCAAGGATGGGTCTGAAGACTACCTTCGACTACACTATTCTTTCTTCTTTTACATAATTAATCTTTTTATAGTATATATATAATTTTTTTTGTTTTCTTTTTCGAATTTCATTCAATGACCTTTCTATTTCTGGTTGCTTGATAATGCTTGATAAACGTATAGTTTCTGATGATTGGTTCTGGGCTATACACAACTATGGAGCAGGATCACACATAATAGAAAATGGATAAAAACACACAATACATAAAATACAATCCACTTGGGCATGGGCTTGAGGGACTTGGGGGTCTTTCGTTTGTCGAGCGCAGGGCCCAACAAAAGGAGGAGGTTACAGAAATCGCAGAAATCGTACCAGTATAAACGATCGACTATCAGCTATCGCCAATCGGCTACCATCGACTAAGGCAACGCCTTAGACCTCGTCGCCCTGGTTCATCGTTAGCTCGCCGAGATGGGCATTGAATCGTGACCATTCATCCCGCGAAGGTTGCGCCAGATGCTCAGCCACGTCGTAGACATACAACTTGCCGGCCTCGTCACCAATGCAGACATGCAGTCCGGACGGGGTCCAGGAGACACGATTGAGCGCCGGCGCACCGCCAACGACAATCGATGCTGTTGGTACTTCAGTGTCCTGATTGAGATTCCACAAATCAAGACGACCGCTACCATCGACAGCAGCGAAAAGTGCGGGATGAATGGGCGACCAGGCGACGTCCATCACATAATCCGAGTTGTCCTCGAATGAGTACAACGGCTTTGTGTCCTGCAACAAGATAGAAAGAGAGAACGGTGTAAATTAGAGAAATACTTTCGGTATACAACGTATATATAGAAATCAATTGCATACCTTTAGGGACCAGAGCTTGATGGTCCAGTCAATGGACGAGGTGAGAAACAGGTGGCCAAAGTCCGGGGACAACTGGTTGTAGTGCGTCGAGATGCCCGTGATGGGCCCCAAATGCCGTTCGTACACCTCGTTCACCCCCGAACGCAGGCCGTGCCGCGAGGCCGAATAGACATAGCCATCCTCGCTGCCCATCACCAGACTGTTGATCTCATTGGCCGGGAATGCCATCGATGTGATGGCAATGGCCTTCGACTGGCGCTGCTGCAGCTCTAGCGTATCTTGGGGCTGCGACAGCATGTCCAGCGACCACGAGCATAGCTTGCCGTCCGACGATATCGAGATGACGTTATGCGCATTCTGGGTGCCAACCATCTGGAGACAGTAAACAGGATGTGTGTGCGCTGCCGCGCTCAGCGGCGTCCGCTGTATGGGGGTGCGCTTCTGGACACGATTATCCCAGAGGACAATTTGGCCCGAGTAGGTGCCGCCGAGTATCAGATTGGGATTGAACTTGGCAAAGCAGGTGGACATCACGGCGCTCTGGCAATGGAAGACATCCTCGGGTGTGCGCTTCTTGAATTTGGTATTCCACACCATCACCACGCCGTCCGGCTCGTTGGGGCTCTCCTCGTTGTTGTGATACGAGGCCACCACCAGCTCTGGGAAGTGTGTGGACCAGTCCATGCTGGTAATGCACCGATTCTTCGACCAGCGCTCATCGTAGAATACCCGATTCAGTGAGAGACGGGCGTGTGAGCGCTCATCGCTGGTCTCCTCGCTGTCTCCACCGCCGATATAGTCCATGTAAATGTCCACGTTCTCCGACAGGGCCCGTTCAATAACACGTCCGGCTCGCACCACGAATCTCTGAAAGTCCTCCGATAGAATGATCATCTGTTTCTGTTCCTCAGACAGCTCGTTGACTGGAAAATAAAGGGATACACATCCATAGTCATATTGAAACCTTATAGTAACGTTATACTCACCCTCCTTCTTGATCTCGTGTTCCTTTTTTATCTCTAGCGGTGTTATGGCCGGTGCCACATCTTTCACCGTGGGCAGGCCATGGGTGAGGAAACCGGGCGGAAGCTTCGAGGAGAAGCCATTATCCAAATGGGGTAGGGAGCTCTCTTCGTCATCTCCTTGGGCATCAAATGCAAGCACTGTTTAAGGTATAAAACTAACACAGCTAGAGGAATATGACAATCGACAGAACAGGAACAATTCTACATCTTCATCGCTTCATTTTCTTCTTCTTAGATTTTTTCTTATTCGTATTTGTCTTCTTTTATTCATTCGTCGTTTTTCTTTTGCTAGGAAACCGCATAAATTCATTGACTTTTGGCTTTCTCTTTTGGTTTTTGGCTGGGATTCGATACGGAGCAGGTTGATCAGGTTACGGTTATGGTTAAGGCTATAGCTTGGTGTTTGATTGAAGCTTGCGGGTGCTTGGTTAGGACAGAGATAGAGAGATAGACATATGGGCGACACATACAGGAAAGAGAGAGATGGAGAGGGAGTTAGTTCGCAGCACGTTTCTGGAGCTTTTCTCTGGAGCGGGATGATGGTGATGGGTGAAGGGTGAAGTCTGTGGAGGGCAAACGTTTAGCAGCTGTGGATATTTGGTTCTACTTGGAGGTGATTAGTGATGGGGTGGTGTGGGGTGGTAGCAATGCGTGTGAGATAGTACGTGGCTTTTGTTCATTTTTTTAAGGACTCACGCACAAAAATATAATATATACATACATATATATATACATATATATATATATATATTACAATTGTTATATATGCAAGGACATGTATGTATGTGATTTGTTGTTCACCTAATTAATATACAAAGCCAATTATACAACTAAAAATATGACAATTTTCTCGCCTTTATGTTTCGATTAACTCTACATGTATGTGTGTATGTATATCGCACATCGTTAGCCGTCGTTATCGTTATCGTTATATCGTTATACGATTATATCACAAAATTGTTTGCATTTGTTCTCCACCCAGTTTATAATTTGCTTGCACTTAAAATTATTTAGTTTTATGCTAGCATATATATAATACACATATATTTAACATTTTAAGTTTAACGGCCGATTATTGATCGACAAGCGATCGATTATTCTGTGTTTCTGTGCTGTAAATTGAAGAGGGGATCAGATCGTCCAGGAGAGCAGAGCTGAGAGAATGAGAGAATGAGGGAGTGTGTGTCTTTCTGCGGGTCTGTGTGTGTGCAGGCACTGGAGGGGAATAGAGAGTGCAGCTGGCAGCGGAAAAACTGGCTAAGCACTGGCTAAATGGGTCAGCGGCCGCAGATTCAGAAGCCCCGTTTGGCCGGTACTTCAAAGAATTAACTTTCCTTCCTTCCGCTCTATAATGAAATAAAGAAAGTCGGTTTGGGTTCCCCCCTTCTCGTCCTAGTGACATATATCCCAAGGATACCCCTTTTGATGTTGCATTGGTGAGAGGCGTTAGTACATGGTTAGGAAAATTATGGGGATTGCTTCATGGGCAGTACGACGGGGCGGTTTGCAGGATGATTGACACACACACACACACACACACACAAAGACACACCGAAGAAGACTCTAGAGATTTGGGATGTGGATCAGGAAGTGGGGGCAGGACATGCAAGCAGAGATGATTTCGATCGATTGCGGGGGTCTGACCGTTAGTGTGTGGTGCGTGTGCCTGTGTAATGTTTCATTTCGACTCTTTTTCAACACTGACTTTACGAAAACCACTACATATCTTCCAACACTGACAACCCGAACTCAAAGTACTGAATATTTTCAACGCTCGATTCGATTTTGATCTCTCTTTACTTTACTTTTGGATTGTTTTTTGTTTTGTTGTTTTTGTTTTTTGATAGAATTTGTACGTTCCTATTTTGCTTCATGTCGATTCCGTCACTGTTTCAATATGGGCAGAGGCCGCCGGCCCTGGGTGGGGGCCAGTGGAGGCCTGTACCTACCTGTGAATTCATCCTCCCACTCTAAACCCGGATTAAGATTGTATTCATCTTGAAGAAATATAAAGAAATAAATATATTGTACATACATTGCTGGTTGTTTGTTGATTTGTTTGATTTTGGGTTACTTTTGCTTATGATTTTTGTTGTTGTTGTTGTGATTTTTTCAAAAACAAACGAAAGAGAGAAAAACAAAACAAAATATAGTTTTGGCTCTGCATACCGCCCATCAATTAATTAATAAGAGATCGATAGTCAATGTTTAAGCTAAATGCATAACGTATAAGAAGTGAGGAAATGTTTTTAGTGTGCTTGCTTAATATTTGCTTTGGATTGGATAAAATGAGATCACACATGGGCGGGCGGGCGGTTGGTCACATATAGAAAGATATAGTATAGGTAGTATATACGATAATATATATATGTATGTATGTATATAGCACACAAGCCTGGCTTATGATGGGTACACAAAATAGGGTGGCGGAGGCAGGGCAGGGCAGGGCAGGGCAAAGGACAGGGCTTGGGACGGTTGAAAGATTATCATAGTTTATCATACAGTAATACATACATAAATATTATGGTATAAGAGTGTTCAACTGATGGTTCAGATACTATAATTACTATAATTCATACGCATATTGGACTCTCTTCATCTGTGCTTTCTTTCACATGCAATTTTCGGTGTATGTCATACATGAAATATCATAGACGTAGAATACTTGGGGAGGATGGGGCTACGAAAATGATATAATCATCTAGTATGTATGGTATATGTATGATAGATCGTAAATGGGTATACAAAATACAAGTTGAAAGAGAACTTCTTCGAAAACTTAGGAAAGAATATGTGTAAAACGGTCTTATATGCAGGATATATATCTCTAAGTATATATACTGTCATAAAAACGATCATAATGCGCAGCCCTACGTAGAACATTTATATATAAACTAAATGCAAAATAAACCAAAAAAAAAACTTAAAAATTCATACGAAATATACTTAAAAAACAAAAAACTTATAAATTGGGTGGAGATTAACAATTTGTTGGTTTTTTTTTTCGTTTTTCTTTTAACAATTACGATTATATAATGGCTCTGATACAAACTGAATCTGTTGCGATGTGGTTCTAGAGCTAATTTGAAAAACAAATCAATTATAAATCATATATATATGTATATATAGATCAGATAGATCGGTTATGGAGAACAAATCAAACGACCGAATCGGAAACGAAGATCAAAGAAGCGTCTACGATAGTTTTAAAGCTAAAACATAAAACCATATACTACATATAGATTTCCATATATACATATATGTGTATATATATGTATATATAAATATATTTGTGTATAACAAAGATAATACGTATCAGGCATAATTCTAGGCAGGACAATGCAAGGGGGGTGGGTGGCTGGGGTGGGTTTTGTCTACAAAAGTGTGTAAGAGTGGGAACGAATTGAAAAAGAGATTGAGAGAGAGAGAGAAAGAGAGCAAAAATTACACAGAAAACACATACGTATACGTATACATGAGGGATACATAGATAGGTGTGGTAGGTGTAAATATATGTATAGAGTGGGGTATAGCAGGTATCAGGAATAGCTCTACATAAAGGCATACGGTTTACAGTTTACAGTTTACGGTTTAGGATTTACGCTTTTACGCTTTACGGCTACAGAGTCTGAAAAGTTTTTAGGGTACAAAAATTACGGATAGAACGTAGCTACTCACCATAATAATCCGTAGCATGAGCTGCATTTTTTTTTTCGTGCGTGCCAATAACAGATAAGGGGGGAGAGAGAGAGAGAGAGAAATAGAAATTAAATAGACAAATTATTAAATGCGCTACAAAATGTATGCTCTAACGATGCCAATTGGGGGTGTGGGGCCGGGGCCAGGGCCAATCCCTGGGGCGGTTGAGGGAATGGAGCGAAACCAAAAATGATAATGATAATGATGTTAGTGGAGTGGCGTGGAGTGGAGTGGGGGTAAGGTAACAAAAGAGAATGCAATGCCTTCATGACTGATCAAATCGAAGCCAAGCCACCAAAAGCGCGCTCGTCAGATGATAATAGCATATACGTTTATACGATCACTCCCAATGATCCTTCAACCAATCGTGATTTTCCGGTTCGTATAAACGTTGCATATGGGCTCTTTTCGTAGCGATATAACTAAGTATTTAACCATTACAAAATAATCGTGTGTTGATCTGATATATGTATGTAGATATAGTTGTTTATGGAATTTGCTTATAATTAAGATTAGTACCTTTACGTGGACGCCACCAGTCCTCCATATATCCTGACAGAGGCGAGGAGTGGCAAGAAAGAACTGTATTTGTTATTTTTATTTGCACTATGAATTGCTCGTATGATTTATCTTTCTGGACAGGGTCGGGTCTGGGAAGGGGGTTTTTCTTATGTTTTCGTGGGACTCTTTTACTTTGCAAGGAGACGAAGCGCAGAAGCCGTATGTGTCTGGTTAAATGGTAAAGGTAGCATGCAGAAGCCAGACTTTAAGCGATTGAGAAACTGTGTGTGTGTGTGGGTGTGTGTGTGTGTGTGTGTGTGTGTGTGAAAGAGATCCCATTTAACAAGAGATTAGACTTAGACCATTAGTTAGGCAAACAAAAAGAGAGAGAGAGACAGAGAGCGTGAGCGAGAATATACAAATACAGTCAACATTTAACAAAGAGACCAAGAACAATGTACATTTAATAATAACGATAGATGGAAACAAACTATGGATAGTATAGTGGTTATAGTAGTAGAGCTTCGTTTATGGCCATTTCTGCCTTTTGGCTTTTGCTTATCGAGAGTACGCACCATCACGCTCATGTCCCCCGGAGCTGGTCGTTTGTGTTTGTTTCGTATAGACCAGGGTCTCCTTTGGTGGAATGTTCGTAGCTTGCACATTGTAAACGCTCAGATTCAAGGGCTGTTTCTTGCCGCCACTGGTTCAGGTAGAAGGTAGCCATGGAAAACAATAAACAAAAATATAATCAATTAAAACGTGTTGCGAGCACAGGAGGGGGAACACAAAGAGCTCACTTTTGACCATTGACAGTGGCCTGGAGGCTGGCGTCGGGGGTCTGTGTATTGGAATTTTCCGACGTCATTGAGTTGACCGATGACAAAGAGGACAGAACCTCGGAGACAGGTGCCACGCCCAGGGACGAAAGCATTTCATCCAGATCTCTGGAAGAGCGACGGGAGAGAGGAAAAACATTCAATATGCATTTTGTTTAGGTTTGGGGGTTTTTTTTTCATTGAATCAAAACTCACTTTCGCTGATCTTTGTCTATGCCAGCGCCACCGCCAATGCGTCCGGCCGCTTCTTCCATATCTTTAATCTCCTTTTCCCTCCGCCGACGATCCTTCTCCTCGCGCAGGGCCGCCAATTTGGCCTTTTTTCGTTCCAGCTCAGCCTTACGATCCATTTTTTTTGTGCTTTCTCTCGAGGTCTCTCTGAGTGATTTTGGATGTAGATTGGTCTTGAATTGGGTGCTGCTTCCTGAGGGAGGGATGTCGTCGGCTAGAAGCTTATGAAGCGGGATATTCTGCAAGGGTTGATGATGATTATATGATATACATGATGATTAACGAGCCGATACAATCAATCAATGGCTATGCCATCGCCTTAACCAATATTGGTGGCTTTGATGATGTCACCAGTTGGCCAAATGCTCAGAAAAACCCTCTTTCCATGTGTGTGCGTGTTCACTACCTTTGTGTGGGTTTCGGTGTCCGATTGCACATTTAAATAATCATTTAGTACGCCATTACACCTTTCATAATGGCCTTAGACTCGAAATCTAATCAGAACATCTGCCACCCACACGCGCACATTCCCTTTCTTTGATGCAAAAAAAAATCAATAAATCTAATGCAGTCCACAAAATGAGAGTATCTGACGCACTTTCTTTCGCACTTCTTTTTCGGTGTCACAGACTTTGCTTCACTCCGATCACATTTGATTCGGTGAATATCTCCATGGACCCACCTCTTAACGTTGTTTAAACGTTCGAATTCGGCAATTTAAGTACTTAAATTAACATTTATCAACCATGTTTTTTGTTAATGTTTTGACTCAGCGCGTTTATCGATACATTTACATTTTACTCAATTTATTACATGGCGACTACATGCTACACGGTAACTAAGCAATGGACAATAGGCAACACTGCCCAGAAAACGCAACGCATGAGAGGTAAAACCCACCCCTTTTGCCTGATATACTTTGAAGACAAGGTATATTGCTCGTCAAAAAACGGCAAGGTGAGGTTTGTACGAGCCTTGCCATTTTCTTTGGTGGTTTTCTCCTGTTGTCCATTGTCACCCGACCCATTTATTCCTTTCAAAAATTAGCAGAAATATGCCGAAATACATCGTTTATCAAAATATTCCGCATATATGCGCAAATAATTGTTCAATCTGGCAACCAATTTGGCGCTCAACAGCACACTTTTAAGCACATGTTACGCTGAGCAGCTTCAAGCCTTACCATGAATGATTGCCGTTAGTTAATATATGCGCCGCGTGTTTCGGTGGCGGGGGCGGGCAAGTGAAACCAATCATAAGAACCTGCCACTGAAAATAGAAAGCTGAGAATGCACAAATGTACAATTGAATCATTGTCTTTAATTTATGCCATCAATGCCAAGCCGGCCCCACCCCCATCGCCTGTTGCCATGCTGCGGTGGGGCCCTACCTTCAAGCCGCAGCATACAAACTGCATACCTGTTTACCGTTAGTCTGCTGTGTATGTGTGTAGGTGTCGGTGCATCATCAGGTGGCGTATCAAAATGACCTGTTAATTACCTGTCTCAACCAAACCCAAAATGCCACAGAATGCAGCGGAAACTTGTCTTCAGAGTGGGAGACTATTTTTGGCGCATTTCCATTTAAATGTCAACATTTGATGACCTATAAACTATATTACAATCCATTTGCCTTTGGTTTCTGTTGTTTTGTCTTTTCGTTAATTTCGTAATATCATTGGATAAACCGGACTGGAAGACCATCCCAACCATGCCATCTTAGCCGATGTTGCCAGTAAAAACCTTGAATTACCAAATATTTTTTTCGCTCCAGGCTGATAAATCAGCGTCTCTGGGATGGGAAGAGATGGAAGGGGAAAGGAAACCAATGTGCCGGGTGGCTGTGGCTCCATCGGGATGGAAGAAGCGGAATTGTTGTTGTAGGTTTTCGCTAATTACGTACGCAAACCAAAGCGGTTCGTTTAATACGATTTTTATTCGTGATTAGTTTACAAATTAATTTGCCAATTGAATTTTAGATTTTTGCTGGTTTCTTAGAATACCAACGACATCGGGGACTGCTGGTCGAGAGTAAAAGTGTCTGGTTAATTAAGTTTGAACCTAAACTAGTTTCTATCTCATCGGGTTTTTGCCGCAGCCGCATTAACAGATGCCATCGGATTGGATCGTATCGGATCGCATCTCTCAAGGACAACTGGTTTTGGGACCATTGCGTGCCGTGTCGTATATTTAGCATATATATGTATATATTATGTATATTACGAACTATCGGACATTTCGTTTCGATTTCCCCTGTGACACAGTTTTTCCACCAGCCAAGGAACCCCCCTTCCCAAAAAATAATAAAAAGCAGGTCCTCCTCAAGGCTGCGAATTTGCTGGAAAGGCTGCAGCGTGACTCTGTCCGGCATCTACTAATGGAAGGGCGTCACAGGCACAAGCACAGGCTGCACCAGCTCGGGAATGGAAAGGCTGCACCTTCAACAACTTCTTTTTTTTTTTGGTCAACGCGAGAGTTGTTATCGTATGCGTCGATTGTTCGTTTTGGCTTAATTCGTTTTGGTGGTTTTGTGATTTGGGGTTTTATTGCTGTAAACGACATTTGCATGCGGCCCATCAACCCGCTGGGAGCGTTGGCGCATATGAATGTGGCTTGCTGGCGTTTTTTTCGGCCACATCCACAGCATGTACTCCCTGGAACTGTTCATGCTTGGAATACCCTAACCCAAAACAAAAGTTGTGCTTGGCTGGCATATGATTGGAATGGATTTCCAGGCTTCCAGTCTACGCTCTTTCGTTCTCTCTCTCCTCTCCCTCGTTATGACTTCCTAGAGAATAGTCTAACTGTAACAGCTAGAGCTGCAGTCAACTCACGTAGTGGAGAGAGGGCAAGGGTATGGCCGCTGTCTTGTTGCTATTTTATTTCATCTTTACGCTCTCGCCTCTCTTTGTCGCCTGCTTCCTACATCATGTACTGTGCTCTCGCAAAAGATCACATATCAGATGAATGTATGCCCTAAGCCAGTGCAGCATTGGCCACATGTACATACGTATGTACGTGTATATGTGCATACTCGCAAGTCATGGGAACGTATGAGTGTGCCACTCTCCTACTCTTAGCTGATTTACTTCCTTGTGGAATACTCTACCCACCCAATCACTGCACTGACGCCTTGATCATAAATGTCGTCGGCCTGGCTCAACAGTGGAAGGGGAAGGGTATGCAAAGCTCGACTTGCTCCTCGCACCATTTGGTTTCATTACATCTTTGTCTCGCCTTTCTTTGCCACCTTCCCTTCCCAGCCCACCCCAGCCGTTTCCATCGGCCAGTTTAAGTGGCGGCACCTGCCCCTGCCCCACCTCAGAGCGGTGCTGGCGCTGCCATTGCTCTGCCGCGGCCGTCAACGGCGTCGGCGTCGTCGCAGCACCTCCGGGGCCGGTGAAAAAGTCTTGAAAAGTGCGCCTCTCTGCCGTTCCGTTGTTAGTTTAAGTTTAACCATCGCACCGCTTGAGTCGCGATTTAGTTGCTCAGCTGCTCCCCTCTTCCTGGAAGGACCCGCCGTCACAAAATCGTGTGCTGTTTTTGTTTCTTTACCCTGGAATCTGCATAAATTCACAAAATGAAATTATTTTTATGTGCCATTGCTGTAACGCTTTGTTTGGCAGGGACAAGTGAGTGTTGAACGGAATCGCTAATCGGTGATCGATGATCGATGATCAATGATAAATGATCAATGATCGGCTTGGATCGGTGATCGTGTGGAGACTGAAGGAAGTTTCGGTGTCGGTGTCGCTTGAGTGGTATAGATATCCGATATCTGTCTGTTTATTTGCATAAAAACACCCGCAGAAGTCGCAACTTGTTGCTAATTAGTTTGACATTGACACCAAATCAAGATTAGGCTTAGCCTCTTTTTTTTAATTTCTGCCCAGACGAGCGATTGACATTTAAAGTGACTTGAAATGTGGCGACCCAACCTTTCAAGAAGTTCCCAGATACAGACGCAGACGCAGATCCATAAACGGTTTCGAGGCGGGGCATAACGAGATGAGGAGTGAAAACCGGCTGGTGGCTAGGACTGGGTCTGGTCTCCGGGGGTCTGGGCAAACTGGCTGCTGCGCGCTTGCCAAGCCTAAAAAACGGTCGTTGTCTGCCTGAAATTGTGGATTATGCAACTCTTTGCACTCGTCATTGCATGGCGGGGCGATGCCATCGCGAACCACATAGACCAGAGATGCACTCACGAGTGTGAATGTGATTGTGACTGTGACAGATACTCCTAATTAAGCTGTGACTTTAAGTGCTCAAATCGTTATTCGCTTTTGGGAGATCGCATTTATAACGTACTGTGGGGTCTCGGGTCTGGCATTCCTGCAAGAGCTTTTCTGAAGTCTGAGTCTAAATTTTCTCAAGTTCTGCTAAAATTTCCCATACTTCTAGCACCTTCTGTTAAAACATATCCCCTGCTAACATTGCCATAGCCACAACCGTTACTCTGTTAAAAGTCCCCCACGTCATTTCTATGGCAAGCAGGAAACCGCAATGCCAATGACGGAATTGCCATCGACTGTTCGATCATCGGTCACGTTGTTACACTTTTCCGTGCTATGGAAAAAGTGAAAGTGTGAAAAACAAGTTGACTGAACTCTTCCCGTCTGTATATTTTTCTTCCTCCATCCAGCTGTATCCGCCGCCGGCTTCGAGTGCCCCAAGCCCAACGGCCAGTTCGCCGATGAGATCCAGTGCGACAAGTTCCATGTGTGCGAGGATGGTGTGCCCAAGGCGAGATTGTGCCCAGACGGCTTGGTCTTCGATCCACTGAACCGCAAGTTCAACAAATGCGATCAGCCCTTCAATGTAGACTGCGAGGACCGTACAGAATTGCGTAAGCTAATGACATGGAGTGACGTCCAAGACTGGTTTTAATTGATTTCCATTTATAGAGGAGCCCAAGTCCAGCAAGTATTGTCCACGTAAGAACGGGTTCTTTGCCCATCCCGATCCGGCTGTGTGCAATATCTTCTACAACTGCATCGAGGGCGATGCCCTGGAGACCAAGTGTACCGTGGGCCTGCACTTCGACGAGTACTCGGGCACCTGTGTGTGGCCCGATACGGCCAAGCGTGAGGGCTGCAACCCCGAGCAGAGTAAGTCCTTTCAGCTGCCTTTCGAGATGGACTTTTGACTGATGGGTTCCCAATTTTTGGTTTGCTTTCCTTCTCTCTTCACCATTCTTATAGGAATGTCTGAGACTGGCTTTGAGTGCCCCAAGGATCAGCCCAAGACCGATGATCGCGGTCAGGTTGTGACTCATCCCAAGTATCCTCATCCCACCGACTGCCAGAAGTTCTACGTCTGCCTGAACGGCGAGGATCCGCGCGATCTGGGCTGCCAGCTGGGCGAGGTCTACAACGATAACACAGAGATGTGCGACGCACCCGAAAATGTGCCCGGATGCGAGGACTGGTACAAGGATGTCGATGACAAGAAGGACTAAGCCGGCTCTTGTCCAGCGCCGCCCGCCGATAAAAGCCCAATGCGCGTCTCCCACTTCCTCTCTCCTCTCCATCTACACATACACACTACACCCTACACCCTACACCAAAACACCTACAGTCACACTCATGCACACTAAAAAAAAGGATTCGCGTCGTAGTCACTTAAAGTTAGTAGTTCTAGCCCACTTCCTATAGAACGTACATATGTATGTGTAGCAGTTAAACTCTAATCTATCCTCTGTCTACTCACCAACTGTCCGACTATCTGACTGTCTGACTGTGTCGGTCTTTCCGTTCTATCAAACTATACTATATTCTTCATTTTCTGTATCTACCTCCTCACCTGTCTATCGCTGTGCCCAACTGAATCTTCTGACCAAATTGTTGTGTATATATTTCCCCCTCTTTCTGACTTTCATTTAATTATTATACAAGAAAATAAACTGATTTTTGTTTTATAAACTACACCGGCAACTTCTTCTATCTATCTTCTATGTATCTTTCCACTTCCTCTAACTATATCTGTTCTTTACTATTCTCTATTCTATCTTTCAGCTCTCCTTGCCTTCTTTCCCTTCAAAATCCTCCTAGGCTATGCGATCAATCTGATCATATCATATGAAAATGGACTACTATTTGTAGCTTCTTCTAACCATATTCTATACATTTTTACTTCTCCTAAGGATATACTCGTATTTAGTAACAATACCTGTACTGTTTCTATATCCTAACCAGCTTCTCTATTCGATTTTCTTACTCTAAGAAATACTACTTTATACGATATTTTCTGTTTTTTAACATCTCCAATTAAGTTGGATCTCTACTTTGTATCTAAGATATCTTTTTAACTGTTTTCTTTAACATTTTCTTGGTCTATTGAAAAAACTATTAATTTATTTTGATAATATTGCTTGCCTATAGGCATCTTTCAACATCTGAAAACTTTATTTTCTATTTGAACAACTGTTTTACTCGAAGACTTGGAACTCTTTTGTGCAGCTATAAAATCGTATCTTCTGGTATACCTTTTAAAATACTATTCTAAATACTCATCACCTTTCTTCTCCGCTATTTTAAGCACTCTCTATTCAATATCTAGATAATATTTATTTGGTTTCTGACTGTTTCTTTCTTTGACTGGAAAACTATTCTGGCTATACAGCTTTTTGATGTGTGTTTATCTAAAGCTTAAGACCCGACTGTTAGTCTTCCATCTCATGTATGGATGGAAGACACACTTTTACTTCATTTTTAAATTAAAACATGATTTCAAAACTACAGGAAATCTTGTGTGTGTGTTTTGTGTTTATCTTGTTTGGAAATACATGTACATGTATATCGGAGATCATCTATTTCGAATAATCAATCAAACCTTTCACTCGGGACTTCGCAACACGCTGCAGCACAGGCAACAACAGAAAGGGGTGGGGCGGGGGGTCTGGGGTGATCTATTAACCCTTTGTTGGGACAGGGCACACAAAAGAGCCGTTAATTACCAAAGTGGCCAAAGCGGATTGCCGCAAGAGAAACAAATCACAAGAGCAGCAGAGCAAAAAAGTCAAAAATAAATGAAAAAGGCTGCAGGCAGAGCAGAGCAGCAGATTTTTTGGTTATGCAATAACCGCAGCAGCCACAACAGCAGCACAACGGCGGCCAAAAGTTTTGCAATAGTTAACAATGTAACGGTAATCGGCAGCAACAACAAACGAGACAAGAGCCAATCATGAATGAAGCTTGCGCTCTGCTCGAGCTTTGCCTTTTACTTTCAATCACATACTCGTGCATGCCATGCCTTCTGGAAGCTTACCCCAAATCACGTTTTGCATGCAACAACAGCAGCTAGCAGCAGCAGCAGCAGCAGCAGCATTACAACACCAACAACAGCGGCAGCATTCAAATAACAGGAATACCATCAGCATTAGCAGCCACAACAGACACAACAATAACATCTGCAGAAAGAAATAGTTTCAACAACAATAGGTTCAACAACAACAACTGCAACGAAAGTAACACCAACAGTAAAAAGGAAAGAAGTTACAACAACACCAACAGCTACACCTATGATATTTATATCAGCAGAATTATCAGTTACAAGAACACCACTACCACAACAACAACAACAAATTCAACACAAATCCCAACAGATTCAACAACACCACAGCCGATAACAGTTGCAGTTACACCAACAGCAAGGCACCGCAGATCATTCGATAAAACTGTGACAACACACAGAAAACTGCCTTACCCTCCCCCATCAACCGTCCTTCGCCACATCCCTACCACCCACCAAATCCCCCAACAACAACAACCCAAAGCTTTTGCAAAACTTTTTGTCGTTTGTTGGTATATTTTTTTTTCGTTTCTGTTTACTGTCGCCGTCGACGTCGCTGTCTGCCTCTGGCTCTGCCGCTACTGCTACCGCTACTTGCTTCTTCTTCTTGGAGTCCGGTATAAATCTTTTCAGTTGAGTTTGGAACGCGTAACCGTTAAAACGTACAAGCCACTTGGAGCGAAAGTTTCAGTTTTTTTTCGACACCTATATTTTTTTTGCGCGTGTTGTATATTTGAAATTTTGTTGTTGTTGTTTTGTGATTTTCTCTGTGTGTGTGTGAGTGTGTGTGCGTGTGAATTTCCGTTTTTGAATTTCCGCTTTACCCAAATTCATAATAAAAGAAACCAAAAAGTGTTAAATATGCAGAGAATGCTAGTATGCAGTATCCTGGCCCTGTCCTGGATAACAGTTGGTGAGTATTCCAAAAAGGGCCTTGGGGCGCGGTGGTGTTCATGTGTGTGCAGTATACTCGCACTCATACTCATTCCCAATTCGCAATTAGCGCAACCTTTCAATTACGAAGCATGTTGCTTTTACTTTCAAAAATTCCAATTGCAATCGCGTGAAGTGGTCATAGACGGTCGCCAGACCCGCCAGACCCACCACACCACACACATGCCACCGTTAGCTCTTTTGTTCTCACCTCAGTAGCAAGCCGAAATACCGAAATCAAAATCAAAATCCAGTTTAATTACTGGTTTCAAGCGAAGGCTAGGCCAAAGATTAGTTACCTGACTGCTCCAATTGGTAGATTGGTGGATACTTAACCCTGAGACACCGCCATGGCGGGGAGGGAGAGTGGCTTATTGCTGCTGATTTTGCATGCAGATCATGTGCGTTCGATCACTTTTGCTTTTCTGTTCAAGCTGACTCACAAGCGTAGAGCAGACGAGGGCCTGCCTGGGTTGGGCCTGGTGCACGATCATATGTAGATCTCCAATAACCGAGATCCTCAATCTAAAATCTAAAATCTAAAATCACTGATCATTTCAAGCCGTTTGGTGCTTGGCACCACAAGTATTCAATAAATACATATAGCATACGAGTATCAGGAATCGCAACCTAAATCAAATGCCAAAGCCCGGTCGGTCAAAGTAGAACTTGGGGCCCGTCAAACCAGTTGACAATTATGGGTGGGAATAAATAAATAAAACAAAGACTTGCAAAACAATCACTTGATACGATCTAGATATTGCCCAACCGACACGACAAGTTTAAACCAACAAAAGGTTAGGTTTAACGATTGGTAACGTTGCCATTTAATTGGTGAATGATCGAAGAACACTCTTCTTGATTGCCTTTCTTTAAATATCATTTAAGAGAACGAAGTAATAGCATGAGTTGTGCTACAATCTGGGAAGAGATCAGATCAGTTGGGATCATCTAACGATTGTTAGGCCATCGAAAGATTCGAGGCGCCATCGATTAACTTTCGTTTCGGCATTTTCGCCCCGAGAGAGTTTTCCCAACACACATTTTGTCCCAGACAAATTACCGGAAATCTTCACAGATTTAAATATATATACTCACTCGCACACATTGTATGCGTGTGCGTTTGTGTTTGTTGTCGGCTTTGGGCTCTGAGCAAAGTGTTGGCAGACAGGTAGGCAATCAACCTGTTACCCGATCTCGATGGTGGCATCGGCATTCCAAGCGATATACCCAGCCGACGGTTACATCATGTTACGGAGCCGCACATTTGCCGCTAGACGCGCGCCGCACCGCGCCGCTCCATGCCGCTTCGCGAAGATGCGCGAAAGTGTCGAGACGAGCAGTGGCGTCACTTGCACTTGCACTCGCACTCCCAAACCAGTTGCACGCCTCCGCCTCCTCATGAGAGGCAGGAAGGAAGTGGTTAATGGTGGGTGCTGGTGACATTTTTCGCAACTGCAGCTGTCAAAATTCGATGATTCGATAAAACAATCGAGATCGATCAATTACGATGATGTTCGACTTTGTTTAATGATTTTTAAATCGATAATAAATATATGCATGTCTATGGATTGTCCTTAATTCGTTAAGTGATTTTTACGGATCTATTTAATCGAAGCGAAATGGAAAAATTAAAAGTAGTAGTGGATATTTTACATACGTTTCTTTTGATCCATTCCCAGGACATGCTCTGGCCGTGGGCTCACCGGAGTGCCCCGAGAAGTACGGTGAACAGGCCTATGCCCACACCGAGAACTGCGACCAGTTCTTCCTCTGCACCAATGGTACCCTGACCCTGGAGACCTGCGAGAATGGACTGCTCTTTGATGGCAAGGGCGCTGTCCACAATCACTGCAACTACAACTGGGCCGTCGACTGCAAGGGCCGTCAGTGGGATCGTGAGTAGATACAGATACGGATATATCCATCCGATTGGGATAACCTTTAAATTGAACTTCTTTTGGACCACCCCACCCCACAGCCACTCCGATCTCCTCGCCGGGCTGTGAGTATCAGTTCGGTTTGTATGCGGTGTCCAAGGACTGTGCCACCACGTACATCAAATGTGCTCACGGCGAGCCTCACGAACAGGACTGCGATGCAGGCCTGGCCTACGATGAGCGCATCCATGGCTGCAACTGGCCCGACCAGCTACTCGACCACTGCAATCCCGAGGGTAAGATCCCCCACTGCCCAATCCCCACTCTATTTTCGAACTACATAACAATGTTTGGCCTTGTTGCACCCTAACAGCTGTCGTTGGCTTCAAGTGCCCCACCAAGGTGGATCCCAATTCGGTGGCCGCTCGCTTCTGGCCCTTCCCACGTTTCCCCGTTTCCGGGGACTGCCATCGCCTGATCACCTGTGTGGAGGGTTATCCCCGTCTCATCAGTTGCGGCGAGGACAAGGTCTTCGATGAGCACACGCTCACCTGCGAGGAGCCCGAGTACGCCAGCGGCGGTTGCGCCAACTACGGAAAGTAGAGATCCACGTCGTCTTCGTCCGATCTCGACTCGGATCGGATCGGATCGGATAGGCTCTGTATGTAAATACGTACATATGAAAAGCTAAATAGCTCCGAATCGATCTATCCAAACCACTCCAATTCACTACAATCTATCTATCCTATCCCTGCACGCGCAAGCCTTTCGCACTATCCCGAATTTCCTAGCGAAAAGAAACCCAATCCCGATTAAAAAAAATATTGCATATAGTAATTTTGCCTGTTAACATCGTCGTCTTTCTATCTTTCTGTATTTTATTATCTTTTTGTTGTTCTGTGGGCTTCCTTTTTGTATATGAATCGCAATAAAGTTAATTTTATTTATTGTAACACTTTTTTGGAAACAAATCCATGCGAAAACGAGCCACAAACGTTGTTTGGGCGCTGTCAGAAGTGAACTAGTATGTGGTTTTAATCCAACGGACTTTGAACTAGTTCGTGGAACGTAGTTTTGCCTGAATACTTCGAATGCCCCGTAGTATAATGAAAAACATGGAGTTAGGGAATATCGGATATTGGAATAGGATAATCAATTTTTATTCTAAAGATAAGAATATGGGAAAAGTAGTTTCCATCCGTGCGGAAATACTTAGCGGCCTAAAACTATCACATCAAAAATTCAAAATTAAACCTAAAGTGAAGCCAAATGTGGGCGACATCCGTTGAATACCTGGCTCAGTCGATCAGATGCCGTGAATGGTCCTGCGGAGTGAAGAATATGATCGCATAGATGAGGCCATCGCGCACCGACTCCGTGGGATTGCCCACGTTGAACATGAACTTGACGCGATGGCTGTTGGCGTCGGGCACGCACGAGTACATCGGATACCAGCCGGTCTTGTTGAACACCACGTAAATCTTGTAGATCTGGTTGCGGTAGATGTAGACGGGCCGGTCAAAGGTGATGTCCAGCAGCGAGTCATAGCGCACCCGGGCAGTGCAATGGGTGTAGGTGATGCGCGAGCCGTGCATATCCTGGATGTGGGCGTAGAGAACCTCGTTGTAGCGTTCGGTGAAGCCGGCGGAGGTCATCAGCTCGCCGCAGAGCACACGCGTGGGCACTTGGACGCCCAGTATCCAGATGTTTGTGTCTACCTGGAAGGTGACTCCCGCATCCGTGACGCTGGTATTGCGATAGTCGAACTGACGTGTCAGCGAGCGCGTGCAGTAGGCTCGGACCATGTCGTTGTGCTGGTTCCCAGCAGATTCTCCTCCACCTCCATTTACACCACCTATGCCACCACCACCTCCAGCAGCTGGTGGCTCGTTTTCATTGACGTTGTTTGGTCCAGCGGGGGCAGCTCCTCCGCCTTCATAGCCATCGCCAAAGCAACGCAATGTGGCATGGCTAGCGGGATTAGCGCCCGGATTGTCCGCCACACTCACCGTTTCCGGTGCTCGCAAGCCTATGGGCATGATACCCTCCTCGCCAAACACGCCAGCATTAATAGGGAGGGCGGGCGCGTCGGTGCGATTGTTCGTGCGATGTATTGTGGCCCCCATGCGGGAAAATAGCACCTCGCCCCCGTTGTTTCGGTTCCCAAAAACCGGAAAGAAGGTTGCCGATGATGTGGCAGCGGCTCCGGAATGACGATAGGAGGTGGACAACTCTCTCTGACGGTGTCCAGATTCGTAGAAGTTTCGAGTGCTGCGAGAGACACAGAAGCCCTCGGGCATGTTACAGTCGTTCAGGGTGGGACTGGAGATCTTGATGAGGATGGCGAGAGCCTCATGCTGTTGCAACAGCTTGGATCGGGCCGGGCCTTCAGCAAACTGCTGCGGTGTCATGGTAAGGAAACGTATCTTCTTGACGGCCTGCCGCAGCATCGCCCCGTCCATGATGGTACGCTGGGCATCCATTATGTTAATCATGTTCACCTCATCGTCGAGGGCATTGCCCGAGGCATCGCTTTCGATGATGACCACATCGTCAGAGGCAGCGGCATCAGCATCGGTATCGGCATCGGCATTGGAATTCGCATCAGGCGAAGCGGTGGCCGCTGCCGCAGCAGCTGCGGAAGAAGTTGAGGCTCCATTCGGATCTGCTTCGAAGCTGTCCCCATCATCATCCTGATGCATGTGCTGGACCATGGCTGCCACATCGGGCTCCATCTTGATTTCCTCCACCATTATATCGCCGGTGGAGTGGTCTGGCGACTGTTTGGTCGTGATTTCTTTGTCGCCGGATATGTAGAGGCCTTCGGGCTGGCCGGATTCGTTGAGAATGCCTCTCTCACTGGCAAACTTCAGCAGGCAGTTGAAGAGATCAAGCTCAGAGTCGATGTTTAGACGGTTCTGATCCAGTATTGCCATCAATGTGGATACCTCGATGTCCATGAAGCTGGGATCCAACAGCACCTCCCTGGTGTTTGTCGCAATCAGGTCCATGCTGCTCTGCATAATGCGCGGCTCATCGAATAGCTTGGCAAACTCGTAGGCGCGACAGGCGTTCTTGGGACTGAGATCGGCCCACAGGAAGTGGGTACAGCGGGTGACGACATGGGGCAGCATATATTTCTTGGCCACGTAACACAGCTCGCAGGCCTTATCAAAGGAGCCAATGGTGATGCGGTCCGTGTAGATGTACTCCATCATGGCCTCAAAGGCCTCCGGCTGCACATCGGGTATAACAATGGGATCGGTCTTGTCCGGCAGATTGCCAAAGAACATGCGCTCAAACACCGGCGAGCCCATCGCCAGGAGTAGCTTATGGCCGGCAATGATGCGGTGGTTGGGCGATGTGCCCACCAGGAAACGGCAGTCGGCCCATTTTTCAGTCTGCAGCAGATATTGGCCGCGATCCTTAATCGCAGTCAGATTGTTTTGCCAGTCGACATCCATGACCTTTTTTGAGCAAAGGAATCGTTAAATATCAGCCGCTATGTTTAGATCGATGCTATTTACCGGTTTTTTGTTCGAGCTTCCACGCAAATTAGGAAATTTGTTGAATTTAAAAGTAGAAAATGGGTAAAAACAAAGACAATTCGGAAATTGTTTAGGTTGCAGTGTTGAGTGTGACCGCAGAATTATCGTGAAAATATTCCGTCCGACCCTCAGAAATATACCGCCTCATTGTAAAAATATACCGTAAATATACTGACGAATTCAAGTTCCATTATTACTCGATTTTGATATTCCGTCGGGTATCACTAGCTAGATAGACCTTTCAGCCCTGCCCACATAATTTTATACGATTATTGAATCAATTTTCAACTTGATTGTTTTATTTTAAATACTTGCTTTTATTGGATTTTGAATAGAAAAATATTTTAGCGAAAAAGGTCAACCAACAAAAATTCGTAAGACAGTAAGACAGTAATCGTTCCTATTGTTCAATTTTGATATTCCGTTGAATAAAGCGGGCTAACTAAAACCTTCGCCGCTGCCAACATAGTTTTATCCTATTGATGAATAAATTTTCTACAAGATTAATTACTTTTGAGTACTCCCATTTACTGTATTTTGACTAAAACAAGGTTAAACAAGAGAGTTCAATATTGATACTATCGCTGAGGCTCTTTTACTTTATATTTTTAAAATGAGACGGTATATTTTTGTATATTTCTGAGGGTCAGACCGTATATTTCATCGCATTTTCAGATTTTAGTGCCACCATGTCTACCTCACACACCTTGCAAATGTGTATACTTTTCATAGTATTTTCCTGTATATTTTAAAATGCCTTATTGACTCACCCTCTTGTCAAATGCACCAAAGTAGAAAACGTGTAGAAATGCCATTTAGAGCCATGTTCCAGGCCACATCGAATACCTCAATTTTTTCAAAAATGCCGGAAGAAAAGCCATGTCAGAAAGGGAATAGCGGAGGTTTTCACACTGGCGCTTCAATGGGGCTTACATGAAAAAAAACGGGAAAAAAAATTTGAAATGTAAACCCTTCAGGTGTCGCTTTTGGTAATTACATAAAAATGTAGTTACTATGTAGCAAATGTGCAGTTAGCGCGTAGTTGCCATGTAGAAACATTAATTTAGTGAAAATTGTTTTTGTTTAAGTTTACGTTTGCTTAAGTTTAACCTGTCTTGTAGGAAATTGATTTAGTATTCGGATACAACTATAAGTTCAGAGCTGAGGGTCTTAGCTTGCTGGAAATATTCAACCGAATATCAAAAACGATGGAACATGATCGAACTTGAATACAAGTAATTCGTCAGTATATTTATGGTATATTTTGATATTTGTGACGCAGTTCGGTATATTTCTGAGGGGCAGAAAAAAGAGAAAAATATTAAGTCAAATCAAATGCGCATAGCTGAAATAAATCAACGTTTCTCATCAAATCAATCAGCACCCAAAGCCAAGAAACAACAAAACATATTTAAATAAAGCGAAGCATATACAAAGTGCATTTAGAGCAAGAGCATTAATCGCTTGTCACCTGTGTGCTGTGGGTGCGAGTGTGTGTGTTTGTGTGAGTGCGTGTGTTTGTGTGGGTGCGTGCGTTGTGTGCTGCGCGTGTGTTTGTGTGTGCTTTGTTCTATAAGAGCCGCTGGTGTGTGGAAATGGCGAAGAAAACCTACGATTTGCTCTTTAAACTGTTGCTAATTGGCGATTCGGGTGTTGGCAAGACCTGCATATTATTCCGTTTCTCCGATGATGCCTTCACCTCGACCTTTATATCCACCATAGGTGAGTGACATGGGCCATGGCCTGTCCAAAAGGCAAACGGGATATTCGTACAAACACTTTGCCTACAATTTACTTATGTAGTACATGTGTATGCACATGTGTAGATGCCGAAGTTGTGTCAGCTGTGGCAGTGGGTAGGCGGCGGCGACTGTGTCAAGGATATGCGTGTGTGTAATTGGGCGTGGCATTGTCTTATCGGTGGGATCAGAAACGGGAATATTCCCTGCAAAGGCATCTCGACATGTGCGCATATGTATGCTTATGTTTCTCAGTGTGAATGCAATGTACTGTTTCTCTCTGCATATGTAAATAAATATGTGTGAATGTAGAGATCGTTGCAGCCTTTGGACTCGGCCTGTGGAGAGCGGGTTACGGTAGCCCTGCCCCTAGTTAGGCAATAAAACTAGATTAATACACGTAACCGATACGTGCAAACATTTATTTATCTATCTGTCTCACTTCCATATCCGTGTCTGCCCCATGGGCTGTGTGTGTGTGCGTCGTGTGTGTGCTCTGGTGATTCATAATTTATGAGAGAGGACAACTGTTTTTTTTTTTTTTTTTTTGGTTTATGGCCAGGCGGCGTTCTAATGCATATTGTGACGTCATAACGTATGATTAAATTTTATTCTTAGGAATTGATTTCAAAATCAAAACCGTGGAACTGAGGGGCAAAAAGATCA